GGGGAGGGGCGGGGGTGGGGATGGGGGAATGATTTGTATATTAGGGTTTTCCAAAGATACTAAAACCTACTAGAATTGTGTTTTAGAGGTGTCAAAATGGGTTGGATTGATTCTAAACACATGGGCTTGTCGTTTTTCCGAAGGGCTCTCGAAATCATTTGCAGAGTCAGAAATTTTATTAAGGAGATTCAACTTTTATAAAAATAGGTCATATCAAACTTTAAGGGGATTCAATCCTTGTATTTATCATGCCTTTTCTTATTTTTGGCTTGAAATATATAAGTATAATAAGTAAAAAATTTAAGTGAGGGGTATCATATGCAGTGGCGAAACCAGAAAATTCAATAATGGTGTTCAAATTTTGAACACTCTTTGTCAATGGACCATATGCAAAGATGTTTAAAGTCTATTTTTAATCAATAACAAGTAATATTTTACTTTATACATAGTATAATTTTTCAGCGAAGGGCGGTCAGTTGATGCCACGACCCGAAATTCCCACCTTCGAGACTGTGATGGCGCCTAATAATTCACTTGCTAGGCAAGCCAACGTTAGAATAATATTAGCCATTTTAAAATAAATTTTAAATTAATTAATAACAAAGAAACCAATGCGGAAGTAAAATTTAAAATGTAGTGATTAATCCATAAAATAGCGATGTCTAAATACCATCCCATAATTTGGTGTCACAAGTACACAAGTTTCTAGAATAATACAAATACAGGTCTGAATAAAATAAAGCTTTCTGAAAGCAAACACACAGCTAAAATAAGATAGACGGGGACTTCGAAACTGCGTACGTTGTGCAGTTATACCTCAAGTCTCCTCTGAATAGCTGAAATCCGAGCAAGTCTATGGTATGATACCGAGACCAACTCCGAAATCTGCACAAGAAGTGCAGAGTGTAGTATCAGTACAACCGATCCCATGTACTGGTAAGTGCCGAGCCTAACCTCGACGAAAGAGTGACGAGGCTAAGGCGGGTCACTTACATTAACCTGTACACAATAATAGTAATAGCCACAATAATAGAAATAAAGCAAGTAACTCATTGTAATAGTTGAAGCCAACTCAGCAATCATAACCAACTATTATTTTAATCAATTTCCGTTGTAGCGTGCAACCCGCTCCCACAATATATTAATATTCAATTCTGTTGCGGCGTGCAACCCGCTCCTCCAATATATAGACTTTTAATAAATCTGTTGCGGCGTGCAACCAGATCGTCCAATATGGACTTTTTAATAAGTCTGTTGCGGCGTGCAACCCGATCCTCCAATATAAACTTTTAAACAAGTCTGTTGCGGCGTGCACCCCGATCCTCCAAATATGGACTTTTTAATAAGTCTGTTGCGGCGTGCAACCCGATCCTCCAATATAAACTTTTAAACAAGTCTGTTGCGGCGTGCACCCCGATCCTCCAAATATGGACTTTTTAATAAGTCTGTTGCGGCGTGCAACCCGATCCTCCAATATAAACTTTTAAACAAGTCTGTTGCGGCGTGCACCCCGATCCTCCAAATATGGACTTTTTAATAAGTCTGTTGCGGCGTGCAACCCGATCCTCCAATATAAACTTTTAAACAAGTCTGTTGCGGCGTGCAACCCTGTCACGACCCAAAATCCAACTAATCGTGATGGCACCTAACCCAACCCGTTAGGTAAGCCAACTTTCAATTATCCAATTACAATAGCCATTATTAAAATAATTTAAGTGAATAAAGGTCTAAATCTTATACATCCCCCAAGAATCGGTAGTACAAATCATGAGCTTCTAAGAATAGAGTATACAAAGCGGAAATAAAATAAATACATAGTCTGTTTGAATAGTACATAAGCAGAGCTTTTATAAATCTAAGGCTACCATGAACAAGAGGCAGCTACAACAGAAACACAGGTACATCTTCAAATCCCGCAACTATCGAGCACAACAACAACAACAACAACAGTCAATATCTGCACGCAATGTGCAGAAGTGTAGTATCAGTACAACTGACCCCATGTACTGAGTAAGTAACAAACCTAGCCGTAGGTTGAAAGCAGTGACGAGCTTCTACCAAGGTCGGGTCCAAAACCACTAATCCACAACAGTTAATAACGACATAAAGTAAATAATACCAGAAGTAACTCAGAGATAAAATGCTCAACCAAATCATGATTTCAAAAATAATAGTTCTTCCTTTCAAATACATCAATGAAAACCCAAATTGTTTGCCGAAGTTGCCAAAAATATGAATAATTTGAGAACATTAATTTTTCCAAAATTCTTTCAATAATAAATAAAATATCTCATTTTCTTTCCCAGATAACCAGTGTAAAACAAATGCATCACTATGCCCATCTGTCAACATGTGTGAGAAATCATGAATAATGTGATACCGTACAGCATGAGGAAAACACATCTCTATGCATATATGTCATGTGTGCATGTCACTGCAATGTATCTCAGAGATTGCACTCATGTACTCACACTCTCTCAGAGTACTCAATCTCATTGTCTTGCATTCTCTCTCACTGTGCTCAGCACACTCAATCACTCAATGCTATACAATACCTGCTGCGGCGTATAGCCCGATCCCTGTTTATAGTCGACTGCGCTCACTAGGGGTGTGTACAGACTCATGAGGGGCTCCTACAGCCCAAGCGCTATAAGAACGGACAACTCACATGCTGCACGGATAACTCACATGCTGCACGGACAACTCACGTGCCATAATATAAATATTTGGATCCGCACGGCCAACTCACGTGCTGCACGGCCAACTCACGTGCAATAATAATATAAGGATATGCACGGCCAACTCACGTTCTGCACGGCCAACTCACGTGCAATAATAATATAAGGATCCGCACGGCCAACTCACGTGCTGCACGGCCAACTCACGTGCAATAATAATATAAGAATCCGCACGGACATACCTTCGCGTTCGTGTCCTCTCCTTCGCGGACGCGAAGAACAAAACCTCACACTCATAAAACACTCTTCGCGAACGCGACACCTCCCACGCGTTCGCGATGCACATACAGACCATACCTTCGTGTTTGCATCCTTCCCTTCGCGGACGCGAAGAACAAAACCTCACACTCAGAAAACACCCATCGCGAACGCGGGGGCCCACTCGCGAACGCAAAAGAGAAAACCAGAAAAAATGCAGAAACAGATATCAGCAATCTCACCAAGGCCAAAAATGATCCGTTAACCATCCAAAACTCACCCGAGCCCCTCGAGACCTCAATCAAATATATCAACAAGTCCGAAAACATCATACGGACTTAGTCGAACCCTCAAATCACCTCAAACAATGCTAAAATCATGAATCACACCCTAATTCAAGCCTAATAAACTTTGAAATTTCTAATTTTTACAAACGACTCCGGAACCTAACAAATCACGTTCGATTTACCTCAAATTTTGCGCACAAGTCATAAATGACATAACGAAGCTATTCCAATTTCCAGAATCGGATTCCGACCTCGATATCAAAATGTCAAACCCCCGGTCAAACTTTCCAAAATTCAACTTTTGGCATTTCAAGCCTAATTCCACTACTTGCCTCCAAATAATTTTCCAGACACGCTCCTAAGTCCAAAATTACCATACGGAGCTATTGGAATCATCAAAATTAAATTCCGAGATCGTTTATACATAAGTCAATATCCGGTCAACTATTTCAACTTAAGCTTCCAACATGAAAATTCATTCTTTCAAGCTAACTCCGAAATACCTTAAAACCAAAACCGATAATTCACTCAAGTCATAATACCTCGTAGTAAGTTAGTCAAGTCTTCAAATAGTTGAAAGGAACGTAAATGCTCAAAACGACTGGTCGGGTCGTTATAATCTCCCCCACTTAAACATACGTTCGTCCTCGAACGTGCCAAGAGTTGTTCTTAACCTTCAAATCTCTATTCCACCTTACCACGCACATACCCGAGGGTGATCTCATGTCACCCTATTCTATATAGGCCTGACCACACAACATAACTGAAAATTATTAATTTAACATTAGCCCAAAAACCTTGGAGCCAAATTTCTAATATCCAAAATTCATTTTAAGACCCGAATCTCTCATTTACACACTATATAAGCCTGGACAAGTTGTATCAAGCTATAGCCATAACCCCAGATATAATCACGTTGCATACTACACAACTCACATGCTCGCAGCACCATTCTCGATCACAGTAATTACTCCAAACCAACCAAGTACTAGTATAAAACCTCATATCAAGCCAAACCTCGTTCCAAAACCTTCGTACACTGCCAATGATGAAAGAAACAATTAAAAACTCATAACCACTCATCAGATCAACTAGCCATGGAGCTCTCTCGCCCCAACCAAAACCATAACCTTCTTGAATATACCATAATCAAGCCTGATAGTACCCATTCTGGGTCTAATGATCTTATATTATTAAACAAAACTATCCCACAGACACATCGCATCAATATAACTCCAACCACCACTGCGCAATCCGTGTACCCAAATATGGGAGATGTCTCAAGGAAGAGAATCGTATTTCAAATTCAACAAGCACTACCACAACCGCAATGTTACAACCAACTCCTCAAAATTCGTGAAGCCATAGGTGCATGTGAACAATTGTAGATGAAGGAAATTAATGAATCAGATAAAGTATCATAGAAATAAAATTCCCACACACGGCATGGACGACTCACATGCCAATAAAATGAATCGCCAGGCATGGTTACAGGCCTCCAGTCCCAGCATATCATACATGAGCAATTAAAT